AGGAGACGAGCCCTGCCCTGATCCAGACCAGGAGACGAGCCCTGCCCTGATCCAGACCAGGAGACGAGCCCTGCCCTGATCCAGACCAGGAGACGAGCCCTGCCCTGATCCAGACCAGGAGACGAGCCCTGCCCTGATCCAGACCAGGAGACGAGCCCTGCCCTGATCCAGACCAGGAGACGAGCCCTGCTAAGTTTCGGTGAACTGACTGGTCTGTCCCTCATGTCAAACTTTGTCTCCATAAACATGAAAATAATAAAACCTAGTGGAGGTCCAAACAAATCGAACTGGACCAGAACCAGGGGTTACCCGCCTCAAACCAAACCTCAGAACCTCATAACAAACCTGCTTACTTCACTTTTTTTGAACCCATGAACGCATCAGTCCCCTGAACGCACCAGGCCTAGATCGAACATTTAAAATAAAAACCAGAGCATAAGTTGGGCCGAGTTGCCGAACTGAATCGTCCCTCACCTGAGATCATGTCCCGCTTAGCTTCGTCCAGATGAGAGGAAACAACGTCCCCCATGGTGGAGGACAGTGTGTTTCACTCCTCTGCAGATACAAGTCCTCACACCGAATCGCGCTGTGTCCCTCTGTGTCCACGGAAATCTGAAGAGGACAGACGGTGTACTCTGGGGACGGGACTTCTCGAGTGTCAAACTTCCACAGTTCTTTTCCCACAGACACACCCTGATTAAAACACGAAGGGAACTCCCACTCTACGCGCGTGCTGCGTTCAAGGTCTTTAGGGATGTGTGCAACTCCTTTTCTGTGTCAGTGCTGCATTCATTGTCTGTAGGGAAGTGGGGAAGTCCCCCCATGGTACGTTCAGGGAACTCCTACACTGTACACCAGCGGAGCAGGGCACTTCTCATTTGGACTCTGAATCCTCCCTGGTATTCATTCTGTAAAAGTGCACGTGTCTGTTGGCAACATTTCTCAAAAGACAATAAAACATTTAATGATTCATGTACCCATGAGATAAAACATGAGTCCAGTCTCTATCAAACAGTTTTACAATCAGCACTGTTACAATCTGACAAAAGGACTTTTAAACTTTTAAACTAATGCAGACATGTTCCTGTTTTTAGTCTTCTACACCACCTTATAATCTAGATGTTTTTTTGTTCGCTACTTCTTCCTTTTGACTGTCCTTTTGGTTGTCATTTTATTTTAATTTGTTTAAAAAAATAAATTTGTAAGCCTCTCTTATGATTGTCTATTATTGTTGTTGTTATTCACTGTTGTCATCACTTTTTGTTAAAGAAATCAGGTCTCTCTTGTAAATGAGTCCCTGAGGATCAATGGGATTAACATGTCTAAATAAAGGTTGAATGAATGAAAAAAAAACTCAGAATAAAAACTTTCCTCCTGACTGGGAACAGCCTCCTCTTCTTTTTATCCACATGACAATGGTCTTGCTCTTCTATCAACGTGTCCCCCCACTTATATAAGTAGATGCCTCATTGCGCACTGAATCGTACGTCAACATTAACGCCATTTTGAATGTGGCAAAAGTGAAGCAATGCCTCATTGATTCAGAGTGACAACAAGGGAAAAATCTGGGCAAGACTATTACTTTCCAAAGTTTATTACTTACACACATGCACACAGAGTGCATATATACCGTGTACACACACTCACATACACACACA